CCCCTCCCCTCCCCTCCCCATGAATGGGATGCCAATCCATCATGTTTAATTCTTCTAATCAGACCACTGTGTACCAAAACTCTAGTTATACTAAAAGTTCTGAAAGTAACAACCCTCGTTGCTTTTGGATTTACCACTCCTTCTCTTCTCTAACTTTGGGGTTTGCAAATGTTTGGGTGGAGGGGTTACTTTCAAGGCTAAAACAGGTACCGTATTTCAGATGACCCATCTTCCAATAAAACAAAAATATTTTGTAAATATGAGCAGAACTGAAAAGGATACAAATTGTTAAAATAACATATATTACTCAAAACAGGTTTATTCACTGCCTTTCATCTAGGTATGTTGCTTAACTTATGCTTACAGGGAAGTAACAACCAGCCATAGGAAACACGAGTCACAACCTGGGCTAGACAACTTTAAATGGCGCATTAATTCAAACACACATAACCAGGCTTTTAGCCTGGATTTGAACAGTGGGCGTCCAAAATGTGCCATAAGGTCTGATCAAAGGATTTTCTTGAAAAAGTGGCTGTCCACAGGACACCTCGACACCCGTCTGGCTAAAAGCGTGCACATAACTTATGTGTACATCTTGGGCCCCCAGATGCATTGCGTTTTGAACTCTTCAAAGTCATAGGCATTGGACAATGTCAGTTAAGTTAACAGTTAACAAATGACATTGTCAAACAGTAAAAAGTAACACAAAATAAACACAACTTACAACTGGGAGTTGCTTCTGTTTTTCACATAATCTCTTACACAACACATAGCTGCTACACGACCTAAGTTAAAGAAAAAGCAAGATTATAACATTATTTTATCATACATATCAAGAACTTCAGGAGGAAGATTCTAAAATCATCACGGGTAAGTACTCAACTGAGGCAGCTGTAAAAAGAAAGCCTGATAAATTCAGGCCTGAATGGGATTTCTGCGATACTGGTTCATCAACCTGGCTAAGTTATGTTTATCTCTCAAGTCTTTACATTACTTTGATTGCATTCATCACTGAACTAACTGTAGATGTAGCACTAGGAAACTAGCAGCATGAGCTATTATTTCACGATTGTTTGAAGGTGATAATGGTCATTACTTATGTGCAATCAGACATCACACATTGCTTATCAAAGTTCTGTACATAAATATTACAAATATACCAAAAAAGCCAACACTGACCTCAACCAAAACAAACTACCTCTTTCTTCTTCAAAAAAGTTCAGAATTACTTTCTTGCTAAATCTAGATTTTTTAAATTGCTTGTTACTTGCTACAGACTCTTGTATTCCCTATAGCGCAGCTCTCAAATACAAGACCCACAAGTTCCATAATTAATTTACTTACAGATCTCCTTTAGGCCACTGCCAGAAAATCCTTCAGTTCTTTGCGCTAATTCATCTAGATCAACGTCTTCTTCAAGCTACATGTAAACGCAAAACATCATGCTTAAATGTGTAACCTAGAGTAAGTGCAAATAATGTGCAATGTCTTGGGTATAAAAATGAACAGTGTTTTTACTGTAAGTGGTATTCTACAATCTAAACTGAGGAAATTTGCCTTGTCCAGGGGCGTAGCCAGGAATTTTCAAAGGGGGGGGGAGGTCACACTGTGTCAAAGTGAGGGTACTCACCAGATTGTCATGCTGTTTTTGCCACCTGTTGGTTGTTTGCTTTAAAAAGGTTTACTAAAGGGGGGTTACAGGCACCCCAGGACCCCCCTAGCTACGCCCCTGTTGTCATTAAACATTGGATTACAACGAGCTGTATTATTCCAGATCAAGAAATGGGTTTACAGAATGCAAGAGATTTTGCAGTCAGACCCTACTACCATCACCATTGGGCAGGGGCCATAAGACTTAGAAAATGACTGACTAAGAATCCCAAAAAGAATTGTTCATAAAACTAACTGGTTGCTCCTTAAGTGAGGTTCCACAGTATCAAGAAAGTATCCCCTGTGTTTTCTCCAAAGCATTTTTTTATCACATACATACATGTGCATTTCTCTATAGATGTACTGCACAGCAACAAAGAGATGATCTTTTGAAGATCTACAAGTTATATTTGTGCACTTTGTGAACTGTTTCTAATTAGCATTCTGTCAAATCTGCTTTGATCAAGACAAGGATCACTAAAGCTGTGTTCACACTAGGTGAAACATGATTAGTCTGATCACGAATGAAACATGTTTCACTAAGAAAAGTGTTCACATCAGATAGTGCATTGCACAAATCATGGTTGAAACATGATTATTCTGAGCATGATTAAAAAAAACCTTGCGAGGTAGATTCAATCATGATCAGACCAAACATGTTCAAAATGGCGGATGGATGAGGAGAGGAGGTGAGTGCCCAAAAGAACCAAAATTGGGGCTATTATGAGGCCAAATGTCTAGTTGAAATATTGGACAATGAAGAAATACAATGGCAATTATCGGCAATGGTAGAAAGCAGAATATTTGGGAGAACATTGTTGCAAAACTTAATGAAGTGTAAAAAATTTATGTGAGTACCATGAAACAGCATGAATTATACAACCATGCATGAAACGTGTTTGAAACCGACATCTGAAATGACCAATGCAATAACAAACATGTTTAGGTGAAACAAGTTTACTCTAATCATGTTTCGGCTTTAATGTGAACACAGCTTAAGATGATCACTTTGTTTGAGGAGAAACTACACATGAGCACAAGTTTCCAAGTTACTACGTTTGTTACCTTTTCTTTTTTGAGAATAATACTCAAGATCTCTTTTCGCTGATCTGGGCCCTGATGAAGAGACTTAAAATTCAATCTCCAAATTTTGACTGTAGTGATTATGAAGCCTACTACAATGGAATCTAAGTGTTATGATAGAGTTGCCAGTGGTCAAAGGAAAGTCCAGGTAACTCCACTTTATGCCCAGGATTGAACGCAAGTATTGTTTAATAAGTACTTCATATTTGGCAGGGTTATTTGACATTTTCATATCGCTTCGTATTTGACAGAATTGTGTGTGTTTTGCTGACTTTTTACTATTGAGGACACTTTGTGATGCTTATCATAAGGAATTTGAATCTCATTGGTGTTCAATCCTAGACATATCTGGGTAACTCATAACAATAGCTGATTTTTCTTGCACTGTCTTCTTTATCACCATTAACATCACATGTTCCAAACCAAAACACTGTAAGTTGTAGAATTTTGTTACATATTTGTAAATTAAGACAGTATCTATCCTAAGCTGGGCTGTCATTCTGGGCCATAACCCATAACACTTGTAAAGGCTGAGTGTGTTTGATGGGTCCTTGATGTTGCAGGGATCAATATCACTGGGTGTTCCAGGAGAAAAGGCTGACAAAAATACTTAATAAACACTCTCAATTTTGTCATTGACATAACTAATCACTTGGTTGTAAGAGCTTGTGTCCTAAGATATAAGAACTACAACCACACTCAGTGTGATTACCAGTCTGGTAATTTCAAATCACAAAAAAACAATTTTTAAAATAAATCACCCAATAACAGCGTACTTACTAACCTCAATCATTCTTATTTTCACTACTTACTGGTAATCCAACATGAAACGTACATGGCATTCTTCTACAGATGGCTCTATCAACATCTTGAGGCCGGTTAGTTGCACCCATAACAACAACCTGACAGGAAGCATCAGTCATCAGCCCTGTAAAACAATCAACAGTCATCAAAACATCATCAACACAATGTCCATACAGTCTCAGAGGAAATTTTTATCTCTTGTAGTATTTGTGCGCAAGGAATCGACACAGCTCAATCACTAGCCATTCAGGAGTTTTCAAGGGAGGGTGGGGTGAGCTGATATGTCGGGGTTGCAGAATCAGTGGGGCATGTCCCCACAGTGTGGCAATTTGAGAATTGGAACCTAGACGAAAACTGTTACACTAGAAATACTAGCAATGTAGTTACACTGGGGTACCTGTCCAGAGTGTTTGCCTTTATTTCTGCCATAATCTTCACAATCTTTTACAATTTTTTTTGTTTTAAAGGGTGTTGGCTTGCCACCCAATCCACCCCATCAAATCTGTTCCTGCAATCATTAAATACCTACATGTAGCAAAATTGTGCCATCAAACTTGGCATGTGTAAGTGTGCATCATAATCCAATGCGAAACACTCATGGAGAGAGTAAAGCTAACTTAGCTACATCATTTCCTTTTGCAATGTTGTAAACAATTTATTGAATCATACTTTTAGCTGTGTATCATTGAGTCATGATGCACCTGGGAAGTTTTGAGAGAAACTGAAGTGAAAGAGTTCCATTATGGTACAGATGATAGCCTAATGATCAGTGGATAGACTCTGAATTTCATAAATATTTTTTGTTAGTCATCTTTCATATACTGCACAACAAGCAATGTGCACAAAGTAAGGAGCAGTTTTTTCTGTAACAATCTGCTTACCATCCCAAAGACTCATAAACTGTGCCTTCATCATTGCTGTGGCTTCGTGATCAGCCTTGTCACGTATTCTAAGAAAAGAGTCTAAAAAACAAAAAAACAAAAATAGCTTGCAAGTTGACCAAGAGGACAATACATGATAATACCTGTGGGTTACCTTCTACAAGATCAGGAAGTTGTGTAAATGCACATACATACACTGCACATGTAGTGTCTAATGTACTGCTTGAATGCATATATATAGCATGCAGTGAAGGTCATGTTTCTCTAGCTCTTAGAGATAGTTCTTAGAGACTGTATAAAACTATAAATTATTTGACATTTAAATACAATATTTGTTAATATATGGGAAAAAGTCCCATTGCTAATTCTTTGATCCTGAAATTTTGAAATGAGCTTGATAAATATGATAATAGAAACAGTAGCCTCCATTCAGCGTGAAATATGCTCAGATATTTCTCCGCGGACATTATCAGTTCCGAGAAGCAAGCAGCTTTCTGAGAGCATAGCTAGACGAAAACTGTGAGCATTGAGGAACAGATGATGTGCAAGGACAAATATCCAAGCTTATAATCCATCAAATATTTTCGCTCATGCCTGCTAGGTCTAAACACGTCACATAACCAAATATTCCTCAGCTCAAACTGGGGAATATCCGAGAATATTCCCCAATTTTCAAAACTTTCAAAATGTCTGCGGACAAATATCCGAGCGTGTTTTCATGCCAAATGGAGGCTTTCGTTTATATATTTTCGTGCCAAATGGAGGCAGTTGTGTTTATTGTCCTTCAAATATTTTCTGCAACACACACGGTTTTGAAAACTGAGGAATATCACTCGGATATTCCCCCTTTTTAGCCGGGGGATATTCACTCACGTGACGGGTTTAGACCAATAAATTATCGCACACGAGCAAAAATATTTTATGAATTATAATGTGCCATATTGTCTGTGGTAAATTTTACTTTAAGACTTAGTCTTCTTTTACTTGGGAACTGAAAAATACCAAGAAAGCAATTTTAAATGCCAACTTCATTTGTGGGTCATAATGATAATTATTATTTTGTTTACAAGTAATCCTTTTACTCACAATTCTTACCCAGTTGACTAACTTTACTGATTTAGTTATACTGAGCCTTTCCCCATCCCAGAGCTTACTTGGAACCGAACTGACTAACCCTGTGTAAGCTAGTATATGCAAGTTACATGACGTACTAAAACAACTACAAACTGATTATCTACTGTAGGTCAAATCACTCACCTATCTCATCAATAAATATGATACATGGTTGAAGTTTTCTGGCCTGAATAATAAAGTAAAGAAAAAAAACTCATTACTAAGAGTCTCAAAGGAACAATCATTTTGTAATAATTGCATACACAAATCTTTCACCATGGGTCATTACTTTGGTGCCCTGGTGAGACTTGTGTGGCTCAGTGACCTTGTGAACTACGC